GCTGTCAATTTCCCGTGCGTAATACAAAATGACTGAAAAACGGCAAACTTCGCAAGGCTATATTATCCACATTTTACAACATTTCGCAACGAAACTTTGGAATATTACTAATTTTGTGATGCTCTTTCAAGCTGTGATGAAATTTTTGTCTAGATCAAAATTTAGTCTATAATGCAAATGGTCCATTGAATGACGCTAATTTGAACGACGCTAAAAATGACTATTCAATTGCACTAATAGAGTAACATCAAATGAATTCGGCCGGAGCTGAAAAACCGGAGTTTGCACAGCACTAACAGAGTAACATCACAAACATCTTATTCACCTGAGTACACAACACCAACACAGCAAATCACTTCATTATGATGTTTAACGTTTGTCAATCTTTTTATTCTAACATTTGCAAACTCTCTCCTTGATGACTTGAAGTGTCTGCCTGTCTGGCAGCGGACAAAGTTTTAATAAATCAGTTCCGCGGAACCGGAACTTTTTCCAGTTCCGGTCGGATCCGGTTCCAGCTGGAACTTAAAAAAAATGGTTCCGGTGCACCCCTAATTTCTGTTGAATAAAACTATTACTAACTCTGTTACTACTGCTCAGTCCCTGACTGCATTGTTTATGCACGATCAACTTTGAAGTGAGTAATTCCATGCCATTTCAACACAGGCATGACACCCACCCTCTCCAAATTTCTTTATATTTCGCAGGCAGTTAACATTGTGTGGGAATAGTTTAAGTTCAAAATTTGAGCATCGTAGCTGCAATAGTTTTTGAGATATCGCAATTTGAAATATGGCCCGAAAAGCAAAAAAGTGGGCGTGGCCAGTGCTAAATTCGCCATTACCCTATTTTACATTTTGACCTGTAACTTCAAACAGTAACTTTGCTTTTCGGGCCATATTTCAAATTGCGATATCTCAAAAACTATTGCAGCTACGATGCTCAAATTTTGAACTTAAACTATTCCCACACAATGTTAACTGCCTGCAAAATATAAAGAAATTTGGAGAGGGTGGGTGTCAAATCAGGTTTTTTTGTGTTGAAATGGCATGGAATTACTCAAGTGCAATCATGTTTCCATGGTATTATTTGATCACTATTGTCATACATACATGAGCTGACCACGCATAAACAATCCATTCAGGAACTGAGTTGTGGTAATAGTTTAAAAGAGTTTTATTCAACAGAAATTTATTACCACTGATTTTTGGGCTACTACAGTTAACATGCAATATTGTTATTCGCATTATTTGACCTTATATACAAGGTCAAATATACAAGGAATTTTGATGCAAGGAAATTTAATGCAAGGAATTTTGATGCACAGAATTTTGACACTAGCAGTGTGCCGTTGTGATGATACAGTGCTTAGTGTGTTTCACCACTGTGACCTAGCTTGGATTCCTGCAATATGCACTGATTATAATTTCACCTCATCGTACTATACTGAAAAGTTCTATTTCCCACAGGAAATATTTTTCAGGCATGCAAAGCTATATGTGTAGATTTAGGTCGGATGTCTTGGCATTTTTCCGCAAACGCATCTTTTGAAAAGTAAACATACATGTTAAAATTGCCAAGCTTCAAGATTTAAGCAAAAGTATATGTGGGTACTGGGTATATAAGTAGTGTTGGTCACAACATGCACTGTTCGATTGGAGTTCATACATTTTGTTAGTTGTTTTGTTTGCATTGATTGCAATTAATTGCTGTTTATAAATATGTGTATTTGCAGCAAACAAATTAAATTTTCATTTGGACATTGCGCATTTGTTGAAAATATTTGCCAACCTAGACTGAGAATGATCACTTTTAGGTCGGCAATTTCTTGCCGACCTGAAATTTCTGGAGTTTCAAGGACTGTTTTTCCTAGGGAAAAATGAGCAGAAATGTTGGATATTTTCACAGAAAATGGCAGACCAGGGGGATCCTGCAGTCAGAAAGCATTTAAAATCCAGGGTGAATCTCTCAATTTTTCTGCGCCGACGATTTTTCGAATTCACGTAAAGCTGCGCCAAAACCTGCACCAAGAAAATTGTCGCGAAAAAATATGCGGTTTTCGGAAAAATCCGAAATTTTCGCCGAATTTTCGAAATTTGGCTTTTCATTCTTCTCAAATCATAATTTCAAATATACTATTACATAAATGCTAAATTGCTTCACCAAATTTTTGCCAAATTGATCTTTGGGATCATTCTGCGCAAAATTGTTGCGCCAAATCAATATTTGCGATCAATCTGCGCCAAAAATGTGCGCCAAACTTTGTTTGAGTCGCTGTTCTGCGCCGAAGATCTTTCAGAAATACACCCTCAAATTCACTCTGGTTTAAAATCAAATAGGAAGTTCAGAAATATGCTCAATTCTTTGTTCGCACATGTAATTTCAAAAATCATTTGCAGGTTTTTTTTTACATTTTGAGAAATTTCGCAGATTTTCATCATTGCAAGAATTTTTGCCCACGAAATTAATTTCTTCACAAAGCCAGAACAGTGTTTCGAGTTTGACTAATCGACTCTGCCAAACATCATGGGTTTCCTCCTGTAGTATAAACACTGGATAAATATGGAATGTCCCTCTACAACCTCACTGTACTTCTAGTGAGTTTATAGAAGTGAACCTCTAATTTACTGACTGGAGATTTTTCAAGCATAATTCTAAATCAATATCAGTACCTTCTCAATATTGCTTTCTTTGGAAAGCTGTGGAGTTTCCGCAGTCTTTTCAGACACTGCTGTTTTCTTAGGCATTCTTTTTCTAAATAGGAAATATAATCAAGCTAAAAAATACATCGTAATATTTATCCAAGCAAGGATCTAGTTTTCAATATTTTTCATTTTTACCTGCGGGCTACGACTTCAGTAATTTCAAACACTATTTTGGCAGACAATCAGCTCAATCTTTCAATAATATTTGTCTTGAATCCTTCAACAGAATCTATATCGTTCGAAATTCAATACTGAATACAAATAAAAAAACAGGAAACAAGTTCAAAATCCAAACGAAACAACATGAAACGCTTCAAATTTCCAACATGGCCGTCTTGTGCGAAGTTATATCTGCCGCAGTTGCCGCTATGTTAACCAGTCAAAAGGCGGGATTTATAATTACCAAATGGGGCAATGCAAAAAGAACAAAATCGATCACAACAGCTAGAAAGAACATAGCCTGCGAACAGGCTCTCAAGCTGAATTGAGAGCCTGCATCGATGACTAATGAATTTGAATATCTGCGTCTCAAATCGTGACGCGAAATTCTCATTGGTCAGATGCTTTAATTTATATTATTCCGCTGAGCTCTATATGTGTCAACTGCTAGCACTATGCATAAAAAACACATTAACTGATCAAATTGGTCTTGGCCATCTTATCTCAAAGCACAAAATGTTCTGTTTTGAGAAAACAGTATTTAAAACATTTAAACTTTTGCTTCAATATCTTATATTTCGAAAAACAGTATAAACTGTACGGTCTAAATTTAGTTTGCATGGTCTAAATTTAGTTTGCACGAAAGTTGTAAACAACACCATATAAGGATAGACATTCCATATTTGGAAAAACGAACGTTACGGGGCAGATATTCAAATTCATTAGTCATCAATGCAGGCTCTCAATTCAGCTTGAGAGCCTGTTCGCAGGCTAGAAAGAACATGTTAAAATTAGAAAATTGCAAAGTTTGGCCGTAAAATGTTGTACAATGCGGAAAATATAGCCCTGCGAAATTTGCAAATTTTGTATTAATTTGTATTCCGCACGGGAAAATGCACCACATTTGGACCGAAAGTGGTGCAAACAGGGATGACGGAACCACGGGTGCAGCGGGTGCAAGTGCACCCCTTGCCTTTTGCATTTTCAACTTTGTGGGTGCAGTACGGGTGCAGAATACGGGTGCAACGGGTGCACAAAGTGCCCTTTTTGCGTGAAAAATTTTCATTAAAATTGCATTTTTTGCGCAAAGGGCATTTTTGAAAAATTCAATCTATGTTATTTCCGGAAAAATGTTTTAATTTCCAGTCGCCAAAAATAATTTTTAGACGCCCTTTCATTTTCATTAGTGCCCTTTTGTTAAGGAATATGCCCTCTTGTTAACCAATTGCACCCCTTGCCCCCAGCAACTTCCGGCATCCCTGGGTGCAAATTCCCGTGCGTATTAACCCGGCGTACTTTATAATTAATCGATGAAAACCGATCATCGGAAGTCCAATCGATGGTAATCGATTGTAATCTCAATCGATGGCAATCGATATTAATTACTTAATATCGATTGACAATGGTCAATCGATGACCAATCGATAGTCACAAAAAGTTATGGCCAATTTTATCGATTATTATCGATATTCAGGGACGCCGGAACGATAAAAAGGCAAAGGGGGGCAGACGCACACCAAGGGCACCTCTATAGATCAAAAGTTCAAAATCTACCTGAAATTTTTTTTTACATGGAAAGTTTTTGGACGACCCCCTCCCCATCGCCAAAAAAATTTCGGTCAGTGTACCATTTTAGGGGTCAAAATTTTTTTCCGAACATACCAAAATTTTCCGTGACGTAAAAAAATTTTTCCGCATGTCAGCAATTTTCCCCATTTATCCAAACTATTTTTCTAAAATCCAAAAGTTTCTAAAATTTTTGTAAATTAACCTCATTCTTTTCCCAATTCACACTTATTTTTGTAAATTCACTTTCTCTGGGCCTATAAATTACCCGAATCTGGAAATGTCATTTATCACGTAGTATTTTACAACTAAAAGGGCACTTCTGCCCCCCCTGCCCCCCCCCCTAGCAAAAGGCACGAGGGGCAGCCGCCCCCCTGTTCCGGCGTCCCTGTCGATATTCATCGATTTTCGTCGATATTTATTGATTGTTATCGGCAAGTTTATTGCTTGCAAAAGTAAATCCATTTTTCGAAGTTACACATGTATTTGATCTAAACGATAAATTTGATCTATAAAGATAAAAACATTTTAATGTTTTGTAACTTCGAAAAATGGATTTACTTTTGCAAGCAATAAACTTGCCGATAACAATCGATAAATATCGACGAAAATCGATGAATATCGATAATAATCGATAAAATTGGCCATAACTTTTTGTGACTATCGATTGGTCATCGATTGAGGTAAAATTAAATTAAAATTTAATTTTACCTGTTTGATTGCATGCATATTAACAGAGGATTTTTTCATCAATGAAAATCGGTAAAAATCGATCAATATCAATCGATAAAAGGTCACAGCAAAACAAGCCATTACCAATATCAATCGATTAATAAATATCGATTGGTATTGATTGATATCGATACTCATCGATTATCAATTTCATCGATTAAGTACGCCGGTCGCCGGGGTATTAAATACAAATTAATACAAAATTTGCAAATTTCGTAGGCCTATATTTCAGTTCCGCATTTTACAACATTTCGCAACCGAACTTTGCAATTTTACTAATTTTAACATGCTCTTTGACTCTTTCTAGCTGTGCCTGTGGTGATGGATTTTGTTCTTCTGGCCTAGATCAAAATTTAGTCTGTAGCTGGAATTGCCCATTCTGATTGTAGAATACTAAACTTTGGAGAGCCCAGATGGGTACGAGATTGAGTATTCTATTACACAATACTTCACTTCTTGCTCAGGTGGAATATGAAGGCATGGGAGTAAATAATTGGTCAGCGTAATCTCAGACAAGCTGGAACAGCAGTTGGACGTGACAGCTTGGATGGGAGCTAGCCCGAGCAAGCACCGCTCACGCAAATCTGGGGTGGGACCCGGGTGGGCCGTACTCAGGCATATATGCCAAACCATGAAACTGAGCAAGGATGAAGTATTCTAGCGTGCTCTTCTTTTTTTAAATTCCTGTTTATGCCCCCCGCCCCTATGGCTGCGCCCACATTTGCATTTGATGGCTTTTTCCACCTTATTTCCGCCTTGCATATCATTATCACTTTAACAATATTTTTCCACTGTGTTTTTTTTGTATACCTGTGAAAGGCACGAATAATTAATCAGGCCACAAACAAATCACAGCGCAGTATTTACTATTTAGGTCACATGTGCACACTTGTATTCAGGGTGCGATAATTCGCGTACCAACGTACCAGAGGTAAGCCAAAATTACGGTCTGGTACTTCTTTGTTTTTAGCCGAGTACCACGTAGGTACACGAGAATTTGCTATTCGCGTACTTACATTTTCCTTCTAGCAATAACTAGCAAACCTTCCAAGGTATTCAAAACCGTCAATTACTTTAGCTGTACAATGTAAATTCCACACATCCGACATATTTTGGGATTAAACAAGGTTGTTATAACTTTGTTATAGGTGTTTATTAAATATATAAAATTCAGAAAGGTTTAATTTTTTCCGTCAAAGACCGTGCATTATATACGTATGTGTAAAACGCAAGACTCGGAAGTAGCCTTAGGTACACCTTGACTTTTAAGTTCGTACCAGCTCAAGTACTCGGCAAAAATTGTTGGAGTACCAGTCAGGTACGGCTAAAAATATTGAATTATCGCACCCTGTTGTATTTAGGTCAGATTTGCATTAAAAATCAGTAAGTCATGTTAGAGGGATGTTTATGAAAGTTATGAATACTACTTCAGAAGCAGGGATGTTTTATATGAAAGTTTATCAACACTAAAACATTCGCAACTGATCTTTATGTACTAGTTAAAACATGAGCAGCCAATCTTTATCTGATATACAAACTCGAGCCGTCGAAAGTTTGTATATCAGATAAAACTCGGATGCGAATGTTTTAACGTGCTTAAAAAACGACCCATCTTTATATAAGTAATTCTAAAAATAAACATTGTCTAAACCAAGAAAATCAAAGCTGAAGTTTATGTAAATCAGAACAAATCTTTCTTTCTTTTTCCTCATGAATTATTAATGAGTTTTTAAGGGCATTTATAAAAATTATGAAAATTTGGCCAATTGCGACAAGGTTTCTATACTGATGCTACTATATGCGTCTAACATGTGCAACCTGGCACTGCCAGGGCCTTTAACTGCTGGATCTTTAACAGCCAGTTCTGCTGCAATTCCAAAGACACTCAATGCACAAGCACAACTTTTCATCACGTGCGTGACATCTGTTGGATCACCTAAGCAAACAAATGCCGCCAGCACAGCTGTCAATGCACATCCAGCAGCAGTTATCTTTGTTAGGACTCGATGACCATTCGATACAGTGATCACACTGCAGCCATCTGTCACAAAGTCATCTTTTCCGGTCACCACGACAACACAGTGACACTTGATGGCAAGGGCTTTGGCCGGTGCAAGGGCGTGGTCAGAACTGTGAGAACTGTCAACTCCTTTTTGAGCTCCATCTAAGACAAAGAATGTGATTATCACAATAGACAACTTGCATGTTTAATAGACTAAATTTTAATCTTAGTAAAGAGAAGGGAAACAAACACCACAGCTAAAAAGAACATAATGAAATTAGTAAAATTGCCAAATTTGGTTGCGAAATGTTGTAAAGCTCCGAAAATATAGTCTTGCAAAGTTTGCAAATTTTGTATATGTTTGTATTATGTGCGGAAATTGTTACCATTTTCGGCTCAAAAATGGTAACAATTTCCGTACGTAATACAAACATATACAAAATATGCAAAATTCGCAAGGCTATATTTTCCGTATTTTACAACATTTCGTAACCAAATTTTGCAATTTTACTAATTTTAATAAGTTCTTTCCGGGAATTTACTTTTTTTGCTCAGATCAAAAATTAGTCTAACATGCAAATTGTCTATTGTATATCTCCAAGTCCTTAATTCTCCTCGATCATGGTACACCACCCAATCATTTCCCCAGCTTCATCTGTTAGAGTAAACCTCGAAGTTTCTACATGTAAGTGCAACAACAAACAGATAATGATGTATAAGCTATTCCCGTACCCGATGCTTGAACATCAAGTTCTTTGCAAATGCTTTCGGCCAGAGCCATAATCTCAGAAGGATTGCCCCTAATCACTGTGGGTTTATAAGAAAGAACCAAATCTGTTGCAGTTTTTGTCCGCAGGCTAGTGGCACCCGCACCCACTGGGTCCAACACCCAGGGCTTCCCCAGTTCCTGAGCTTTGGCTGCGGCCTTGTGCATGGATGTGATCCATGGGGTAGAGAGAGTTCCAATATTGATCAGCAATGGTGAGGCCAAACTAACAAATTCTTCCACTTCTTCTTCAGCTAAAAATGAAAGCTCTCCATATTAGTATTCATTTTTCAAGAAAAATTTTTCCAGCAGTTGTACCGAAGGATTGATCATTATTGACGTGTTTGCAAAGACATCAATCGAACTATCAAAAGCGCTTTTGTAGATATTTTTACAAATCAAACTTTGTCCTTATTCATAGAACTAATAAACTATCTAAACATAATTTAATTCATTTAATTTTAATAATATCTCAAGCACACAGTCTCGTTCAGTCATTCACCAACAAACAATTTGGTATAAATCAAAATATCCAATATCTTTACTCCTCAATGCATTTGTAGTTTATTGATCTAAATATTTTGTCAAAATGCAAGAAAAAGCTTTTCAGGGCTGGGACTATTGATTTCAAAATTTTCGAAGGGCATGCTCCAGATCCCCATCATTACAAGGAGGAAAGGGGGTGCCAAATTGACAAATTCCCACTTGCCCTTCATAGTTTCAACTTGCCCCGGTCAAGTGTTACACCACTGTGCAACTTAGTTCAGTTATATTACCATAACGAAACTAAGAAAAGTATTTTACTACCGTAAACCTCCGACTATAAGCCCTGGGCTTATATACTTTCGTAAACAGATACTTGATGGGCTTATACAAGGGAGGCTTATATACGGGAGGCTAACACATGGACGATCTTTTGTGTTAGTAATAAGCAAGTCAGACATAAACAAGTGAGTCATAAACAGGAAAATAAACATGTTTCAATAACGGACTTTGATTAACATAGTCGGCTATAAAGACAATGACAATGTTTTTAAATATCTTTCTCTGCTATATTAAAAGACAATGGCAATGTTGTAAAACCCTGTCAGGGGACTTATATTTGGGGGGCTTATATTCGGGGGGATATTGAGCTTATATTTGGAATGAGTGGCGTTAGTATATGTGGTGGAGCTTATATTCGGGGTTTATATTAGTTATATTGGGGGCTTATATTCGGGGGGCTTATAGTCGGAGGTTTACGGTATTTTTAATAGCATGTTTACCGTGTATGTAGTAAATGGTCACCCAATTTGGAAAGTTTGTATCGAGAAATCGGGCATGCAATTTTGATGCTTTCTATATATTTACTATTAAATTTTCGAAATATCGGTTGTGCAATTTCCAAACTTTTCAGTCTGGATGGTCACAAAAACAACCATACGCAAGCATTTATATGGGCCAGTGGTCTGCCAGTCATAATATGAAATTAAGAAGATATGCATTATGTTCGAATGCACTTCCTAATCTGTGATTATTACTAGTAGTAATAATCCATATGACTGGCAGACCACCAGCCCATATAAATATGAGTAATCATGCTTTGAATAGGGATGACGGTGCCTATTTGCCAGAGGAATATATGCATCTCATTGGCAGGTGACGTTATCCCTTGGGTATTTAAGAAGCCACGATTGTAACTTTAGATCACCCCTGATGAAGACACCAGACTGGAGTGTTGAAACGTTGGGTCTTGATTACAATTCGACTGGGCTTTGTAATCATTTATTTAAACCAGAGTAGCAAGCGAAACATGATAGTAGTAACTTAAATTAATTCGGCTAGGAAATACCACGAACAGCGGTGTCTAATTAGGGATTTACAACTTCCTTGAACAGACTTTGCTGTAAGAGATGCGTTCCCTAACTCAGGGCCAGTTGCATACACCATCATGCTATTAATTTAAAAATATTTGGAAATTTCAACAAAAATTTAGGACCAAAAGGAACCAAAAGGATTTTTTTATTTTCGAAAATGGAAGCACTGCTGGCTCACTACAGCGAAGGAAGTCGAAGATCTGAGATAGAAGAGTTTGGTGCTTTTACCCGGTTAGTAACAAACCAACAAAATTTGACGTCAAGACACGCAACTAATACCATTTAAATCCTGGCTACAATTTTAATATTTGCAAACCGCGGATCATAATATATTCATTGATATTTTATATATAGTGACATTATTTTTCAGGGCTGTATACTGTACATAAATATTTTGTAATAATCTGTTTGATGCTTAACCATAGTGTATAACTCACCATGTACCATGGCAGGAGATGCTCCTATCGCGAGGAGAGTATTTGCCATGATATCCATGGACACGTAGTTTGTGATGCACTGAACGAGAGGGCAGTCCGACCTTAGCTTCTGGAGTAGGCTGGCACATTGATCAGAAGAGACTAGCTTGTTGCCGCCACTTGATTGTGTTGACTGAGACATGGTTTCTGTTTTGTGGGAATATTAAAGTTTGCTTTTTACGTTTCAAATACTTTCAATGCAGTTGGAATATTTGGAAAATAGCTGGCGGCCATGTTCTTAGCAAGTGCCCTAAAGAAGGCATTTCACCCCCTGGAACATTAAATTTCAGTATATTTTCAGGGGGGTGACTCTTTAGAGCACTTGCTTTATTAACCTGAATACTGAAAAAGCGAAAGTAGTTTTATAGTGGTGTGTGTGTGTGTTGACTGTGTTTGTGTGTGTTGGTGTTATGTACTCAGGCACAGAATAGGAAATAGACTATTTTCTATTTTCTAAATAGTCTATTTTCTATTCTGTGACTCAGGTGAATATGATCTTTGTGGTGTTACCACTTGCATCCACAACGGGCAAGCTGAAAAGTTTGCTGACCACGGTGGGTTATGGGTACATAACACCAACACACACAAAAAGTATCATAAACTTCGCATACGTTGATACAGTATCGAAGGAACTAGAGTATACTCAGTTCCGAAATATCACGATTCACGAACACCAAAGGCAGACATTCTAACTCTGCCGATTTTACCGGGAGTCTCCCGAAAATTCATACACTGATCTCCTGGTCTCCCGATTTTTATCAAATTCTCCAGATTTTCCAGAATATTCGGGAAATATCGTAAAAAAAATCATAAACATACTGTTTTTAGCAACATAAGAGTCTGTTTTGACCTTTTTATGAAGTTAATTTATGACAATTTATAGGATCACTTATAACAACATCTTCCCAAAATGCAGGAAACGCCATTTCAGAAGACTTAATTTTTAAAATTTTTTCACAGACTGAACAAGATTTCAATTCACTGAACAGTCTCCCTAAATTTTACCTTTGGAATGTCTGCAAAGGTTACACCGTATAGTATATTGCACGTGAGCTACTCTTTAAAGATCTACGTGCAGTATACTGTCGTATCTGGTTTTGAATTAATATTAGCTAAATAGGCCTTTTGAGAGTGAGAAGAATGGGCACATAGAGCAGAGTGATTGAGTGAAAATTCCACAATAATGGTTAGACAATGCAAACATTCCGCCCACTACACTAGATACGCAAAAAAACCTGCTGATCCTTCGCGGGTTCTTTTGACCGCCCCATGCATGATCTAAGTAAAGACTAAAGTGAACTAGACTCAGATCCAGACACTTGTTATTTTACTTGTGATGTTACTCTGATGGGATGTTACACTGATGTGTATATCCACACCGGGCAAGCTTGAAAAATATGCCTGGCCACGGTGGGAATCGAACCTACGACCTTTGGAATACTAGCCCAATGCTCTGCCAACTGAGCTACGCGATCTTGGTCGGTTCGAGTATGTGATATTATGTAATCTAATAATCATGATTTTTTTCTGTGTTGGTCAGTAATGTACTCAGGTGAATGTGATGCTTGTGATGTTACTCTGAGTGCATATCCACACCGGGCAAGCTTGAAAAATATGCCTGACCACGGTGGGAATCGAACCTACGACCTTTGGAATACTAGCCCAATGCTCTGCCAACTGAGCTACGCGATCTTGGTCGGTTCGAGTATGTGATATTATGTAATCTAATAATCATGATTTTTTTCTGTGTTGGTCAGTAATGTACTCAGGTGAATGTGATGCTTGTGATGTTACTCTGAGTGTATATCCACACCGGGCAAGCTTGAAAAATATGCCTGACCACGGTGGGAATCGAACCTACGACCTTTGGAATACTAGCCCAATGCTCTGCCAACTGAGCTACGCGATCTTGGTCGGTTCGAGTATGTGATATTATGTAATCTAATAATCATGATTTTTTTCTGTGTTAGTCAGTAATGTACTCAGGTGAATGTGATGCTTGTGATGTTACTCTGAGTGTATATCCACACCGGGCAAGCTTGAAAAATGCATATTTTTCAAGCTTGCCCGGTGTGGATATACACTCAGAGTAACATCACAAGCATCATATTCACCTGAGTACATTACACCAACACAGAAAAAAATCACTTGTTATTTTAGTTTATTTTAGCTTACTTGTATACTATCAGTAAAAACATATTTTTATTGTTTGAAGTTTACAACACTGAGAAATAAATGGAGAGGCTTCCCTCGAACACGATTACAGAGCGGGAGATCACTAGTTTCCAAGAAAATGGGGCCATTTGTTTACGAGCTGTGTTCAATCAGAAGTGGATTGATCTCTTGCGAAGAGGAATAGAATACAATCGGCTCCACCCATCCGACATGACGAAACGCAAAGGGCACTCGCCTCTGTTCTTTCATGACTACAACAACTGGGAAAATATCCCAGAATACAAGGAGTTTGTTCTCCATTCCCCAGTGGGAGAGTTGGCAGGACGACTTGTTCAGTCTGCGGTAAGGGAGATTGCCAGTCTTTTGTGTGCAAGGTGTTCCCGTTCCAACCGGACGTTTGACACACTAACTGTGACGTATTAGTGATTAGTAACAGGGAGGGGGGGGGGGGTTGGGGGGGGGTTGAGTGTGGAGTTGAATAGCATTTTTATGTTATAGCAATTAATATCATACCGGAAAGTTAATTGAAATTGGTTTCAACTTTACTTATGGAACAACCACATAAATAAATAGATATTACATTTTGAGTATCTTGCTCGATAGAAATAAATGTACATGGGGAGTTCGTCTCCGCTCGGGGTTTTCATCAACCAAGCCCTCTACATTTGAATAAATACAGTATGATCGTCAATGGACCAATCCCCAATTAACCAAAATTTTGAACTCAACAAGTCTAGACAAAAATTTCATCACAGATTGAAAGAGCCTCACAAAATTGGTAATATTCCAAAGTTTCGTTGCAAAATGTTGTAAAATGCGGATAATATATTATAGCCTTGCGAAGTTTGCAATTTTCAGTCATTTTAGATTACAAACGGGAAATGTGCGTAATACAAAACGACTGAAAATTACAAACTTCGCAAGGCTATATTATCCGCATTTTACAATATTTCGCAACGAAAATTTGGAATATTACTAAGTTTGTGATGCTCTTTCAAACTGTGATGAAATTTTTGTTTAGGCTAGTTAAGATCAAAATTTTGGAAAAGTGGTAACCGTTTCCCGCTCGTAAATGTAATACAAAATGACTGAAAATTGAAACTTTCGCAAAGCTATATTATCCGCATTTTACAACATTTCGCAACGAAACTTTGCAATATTATAAATTTTGTGATGCTCTTTCATGCTATGATGGAATTTTGTCTAGACTTGTTGAGATAAAAATTTTGGTTAATTGGGGATTGGTCCATTAGCCTTTCTCACGCCGCCATTTTTGGGTGGCTTTTCAGCCGAAGTCTGCGAGATAAGTCCACATAACAGCGACTTTTTATATTTTTTTGGACGAATGATGATAAATTTGCTTTGTAAATGGTTAGTTTATTTTGAAAAATTGCTTTTCACATTGTTTTAATTGTCTCATTTGTCTGCATTGGTTAACGAGAATTACATGCCAACCAAAAATGGCGGATATTCGTCATCGTGAGACAGGCTAATTGGACGCCAACGAGTTCTCTGATCGACGTTGTAAATCTTCCTAGACAATCGCGCTGTACTCCAATCACGTTATTGTGAAAGACAGCGGCTCAACCAGAGAAACGCCATGGCACCAAGATCAGGCTTACTATAAGATCGACGGACAGCAGGGAAGTATTGATTGAGCGAGGCCACGTCCACACTAATCCGCTTTCGTATTGTTCCACTGGTCAATTGCACTTGATCATTGTTTCTTTCCCTTGTGAACGCAGAACGATACGAAATCGGATTTGTGTGGAAGTAGCCTAAATGCTTAGGGACTGGTCATAAAGTAACTGCTAGGGTGGGCTGAAGGTAAATCACAAATTTTGCCAATAAGTTTGGTGACCCATCTTGGGATGTAGATAAAAATTTCAAAGCCCAACTAATCTTACCAAATTTATTTCATGATCCACCCACCGAATCTAAATTTGGAAAATACACTTTTATAATAAAAAAAACTTGCAGGTATGAACATTGTAAGTATACACCGGCACTGTATTGACATACATAATTTCACCAAGCTTCACTAACACATCCATCACCAATTACGATACTGAGCTGCTCTCCAGTTGGCTGTATTTGCTGTGATTCGACCACTTCTTGTTGTTGTATAAAACAAAGTACTGGCTTCAATAGCATCATTTGCATTTGATAATTTGGATAGTTTTGTTTACTTTTATTATGAATATCTTATATAATATATAATTAACATGCGTTTTTGTTTGGTGGCCCAACCGTGGACATACAAAAAAATTGGTGGCCCATCGAAACTGCCCAAAGATTTTCCATGGCCCATCCCAAATCACTCCGGCCCACCCTAGCAGTTACTTTATGACCGGTTCCTTATTGTTGTTTACCAAAAATATTACTGGCATGTCTTCCATCATGAGTGGATTACGGTTCGACCTCATTTGGTTCCATTGACTGAATTGAAAGCTGTGTTTTACCTAAAATTTCTTCTTGAAATTACTCTTGTGTTATAAGTGAAGTAAATAAGAAGTTGCCGTTTACCGTAGTAATAAAGGACAAAGTTTGACCGGTATACAATCCTAGACTCTAGTGGTAAGCGCGTTGTCTTCCCTAGCGAAAGTCATGCGGTCATGCCGTTGTAGTTAGTATTGAGAATTTAAGGCACAGGCACAGAATACCCACTATTAGCCTTTGTATGACAAAATTCTAACAAAGGGACACAGATTAAGAATATACTGCATGTGCCAATGGCAATGATTCTTCATGATCAACTCGTTACTGAATCTACATATGTTCCTGTGTGTTTCGTAAGAAAACCATCTCTGGAAAAAGAACATATATGTAGTGTAAAATAGCTATGTAGTGTAAAATAGTAATTTGTGTTTTTTTTTTACCATAGAAATCCTTTACGATGCTGGTCACCGGTTAATACCAGCTATTTCTTGTAAATATGCTGATCGGTCTTTTTTCTCCAGTTTAAATAAAGTCATTATTATTATTTGTATAACAGTCCTCCACCATACCTTCACCGGAATCGCGAGCAGTCGTGAATACAAAAGATATTCAATTTATTTGAAACGACTAGTTGACTGAGATCTTTGTTAACTTAGGTATGTTCTGTGTGGCTTCCAGTTGACCCAGTTTCCGAACACACCTGTCTCCGTGTGGTGAAAGGTTCTCACAAGTCACCTCATTATTTCAAACCGGTTCACTTTGACGGGCCTCCATTTACCCCCTACGAAATAAAACCTGGAGACGAAGAGCAAGCAAAAGAATTTCTGTCACCAGATGTTGATGGAAACGACCAATACCAAGTCTTGTCCTGGAATATGGAGGTGGGTATAGCCCGGCAGGGTTCGTAGCGCAGGGTTTATTTTAACGTGCAGTTCTACACAAAATGTGCAGTTCTAAACCCATTTGTGCAGTTCTTAAAACACAAATGTGCAGTCACCAATCTAACAAAAATAGCCTTAATTAAGACAGTCTTCTCATTTACTCGTTACCCTTGTGGATGCTCCAGAAAATTCCAGAAATGCTGTCATTAATCGGAGCATCAAAAATATAAACGTTTTCTGGGGGAGGACTCCAGACCCTCCTATTTTCCTCACAAATCGCTTACGTGCTGAGGTAATGGAAAAGAAGGTAAAATTGGCGCCAGCGAAGCTCCCTAAAAGAGATTAGAGTGGGAGAACCTAATATTCTTTGCTGCCTCAAATGCAAATTTAAGGTTGTTATATATTGAATATCCATGATTCCAGTTACATGTTTCGAAACAGTTTTTGCGAGTAGTTGGGTGCCAAACAAATCTTTGCCAGAACTTAAGAGACTCTAGATTCAAATTGTTTTGGGGAACACCCCCTAGCTCCCGCACCCAAAATCGAGTTTGTCTTGCCTTTCTCCAATTCTCCCACCCAACCACACCATTATTCTGTCACCTATATGCAGGTAAAAAAATCCTTCGACCCCCCCCCCCAGTCAAACACCCGTTGCCTTCGCAACATCCCTATATGTGCAGTTCTAAATTTTTCTTAAAATAAACCCTGTCGTAGCGGTCTTTGAAATCCTTGAAAGTCTTTAAATTTGAATGCAGGTCTTTAAGGTCTTTGAAAAGTCTTTGAATTGTGTGAAAAAGCGAAGAAAGTCTTTAAAAGTCTTTAAATTCTTTTGTGAGGTCTTGATTATACGATTTTCTAGCTAATAAAATAGATTGATTGAAGCAAGATTTTCGCAAATATCGACAAAAAGGCGCATTTTAGGATGTGATTTGACTGGACTAATTACTGGGTAAAAATGGTGCTTGCACCAGGCTTTATACACTCGCAATTTTTCGACAGCTGATTGCTCTCAAAGGGCTTTGAAAAGTCTTTGAAAATAGGCAGAAAAAAACTTTGAAAGTCTTTGAATTGTTTTAGTCTTGGAGACTACGAACCCTGCCCGGCCCATACACTCCTCCCTCTCCGAGTAACATCTCCTGTTGTCCTCCAGCTGTTTAGAGTTCTGTATCACACAACAGTAAAATTATTCTTCTGACTGCCAGAGCACTTTTATATCTACTTTTCCTTTGATTGAAGTAAAATATACAATCAGCGTTATTTATATACTCGGCTTTGGAAAGATAGCTGATCGCCATTCTTTATATTTCAGCCTGGAGATTGCATTGTTTTCCACATGAAAACAGTTCACAGTGCTCACGGCAACAACCTTCAGACGCCTCGCCGAGCCTTCTCTACAAGATGGCTTGGTGATGACGCTGTCAAGGGAGAAAGACCCTGGATGAATTTACCACCAAGTAACGAGATGAAAGACTTGAAAAACGGCGATAAACTCGTCGATTCTGGTATATTCACCGTTGTTTGGAACGCATAACGATTAATGGACATATATATATTCTGATGATTAATTTGCCAAGGTCTGCTTGCTGATGGAATTGCTGTTTTGACTTGACAGCAAGGTTCCATATTCAGAAAGCCTCGATTGTGTTGTAATTTAGAAAAAATTAGCATTGCAATATTTGTTTACAATACAGTCAATAGTAATGAAGAGTTGAAAGCTGTACTAGCTGTGACATTGATTTTGGTAGAGACAACTTTGACAAGGATTTATAATAATCTTTTTGGATAGTGAGTTTACGCTTTTAGTGAACTTTATAGTTTACCGAGCTAAGAATTAACAAACATGATCAGTTTTAAACTTTTAGTTAACTTGTTAACCCTTTTATTGCATAGAATATAAAAGAGTCCTGGATGAGAGAAATTGGGTGATAGACTTTATTTAACTGCTTACACGTAAGTGGTACAAGCCGGTAAATGAACGAAAATCCCACTCAAACGCATAAACAAAATAATAAACAAAATAAATAAACAAAATAAACAAATAAATAAAGGTTATGTGGACAATACGTCATTTGGCCTGGGAGCCTCGCTCTCATGAATCGTGAACATTAATCACCAAGACCAAAAAGTATGTGTGACAATGTGTGACGTAATTATCGAAAGGGTGTATTAGAGTTATGTGGACAATTAGCTGAAAACTAAAATATGAATGTTCATATGTTCATGTTTGGAACTCCCCGTGCAATGTTGATTGTGATGTGTTTTACCAAGACAAGTGATTGGGGGGGGGGGAGCAAAAATAAAAATCGAGCAGAGGAAACAGAAAGAAAAATTCAAGCACGAAAAAAGTTTAAAAAGAAAATTTCTCAATAGGGAAAATCAGTAAATTGTGTAAGGGTGGCCCCAAATTTGGAAAATAAAACGTTTTTTGATATAAGTAATGGTGTGAGAAAAAAATTTGCTGAACTTAAATCTTGAAGATATTGGTGAAAAAGGGTTTTAAGCATGTTTTAACAAAAATTTGTGAGGGAAAATTTTTTTTGACTCTTTTTAAGTGTCCTGAAAAAAATTGATAGGACAAAGCATGTACTATCACATGTCAATAATTTCTGCCACGACTGTAAGTTTGTACTTGTAGTGTAAACATGCATGCTTTAGAAATATAATTGGGAAGAACACTAAGTTTAGTTATTTCACTTATTTGACAAAAAAAAAAATGTTTTATTCAGTTGCAGATACAAAATTCATTTACTACAGTTACGTATTGGCAAAACCTTAATAATTATATATAATTAAGCAATGACTATCATTCTATGCTCTGTTCTTTGCAGTCTCATACTTGTGTTTATTTTACAATTATTACATTACTATAATAGTGTCCCAGTATTCGACAAGAAATGTCAATTTATCACACACCGCAGGGAGCTGCTGGAGCCTTAGCCCATAGTTAATATATATGTTGACTATGCTCAGCCACAACAACAAAAAAATTGAGATTCAGAATTTTGACATTCAGAATTGTTCACAACAACAGCACAAGCAAATAACCTTGTTTGAGTGGCAGAAGGTAATTGCTTCCAAGAATAGGATAGGAAGTTGAAACAATCCATTGCATCAGTATCCCCCACACTAATTACAACAAGAGTGTTACTACTATGCACAGCAAACCAATCAACTCCATCCTTTTCCATGACCATTAGAACCTTAGGCCTGTTTTATACGTCGAATTTCGGTCGCGTCGAATGCAATTCAAACAATAGATAATGAAGCTTAATGAGGTTTATCATCTCATTATCTATTGTCTTAATTGCATTCGACGCGACCAAAATTCGACGTATAAGACAGGCCTTACTCTGACCAGACTTAAAATCATATTCGATAATCTCATTGCTGGTGTTCTCTTCGTTGTCATACCCTCCAATCAAAAGCATGGTGTCATCACGACGAACTGTTGCCATACCCCAAAGAGGAGATGGTAGTGGTGGCATTTCAACACATTCATTTCTTGTTATGTCAAATATTTCCACATCATTTCCAGTCTCTTGCCCACCGGCGATCAAAACCTTATCATCGAATAACTCCACTCCATGGTATATTCGTTTCTTCTTCATGTGACAAAGCAATTTGGATGAATAAGGAGGAACAAGGAGCAGCTCGTATATCACATCCAAACTCTTTCGCTTCTTTGTCTTTTTACCACCAATAATCAGCAAGCGATTACCATAAACAACACACTGGTGATCAGCCACCTTGATAGGAAGATTAACAGCAAACTCCTGCCATGTTGGTGGATGAACACTCAGATCCAATACTTCTATGCTATCTGTAGCATCAGAGCTGTCACTGATAAATCCGCCACAAACCAGTATTTGCTTTGCAAACACCACAGCTGCTGCACTATATCGACCAATTTTCAACTCAGCCAGTGGTTTCCAGGTTTGGTTGAAGAAGTTAAAACGCTCCACGGAAGAGAGGACCTTATCTTCGAGATCCAGACCCCCAATAACAACCATATCACTGTTCATGGAGTTGACAACGTTCATGGCAACATTTTGAGACGACTTTTCAAGCTTTTCAATAGCGATTGTGATTCGTTGCATACCTTCTCTCATTTCGTTCATCATTTCGTGTTGCGTGACTTTCATTTCTGCAAGATCTTTCTTCATTTCATCAACATCACGTCGTAAAACACAGTCATGAGCGCCATATTTATGATGAGGCATCTTTTTCCCACAGTCGTCACAGGTCGTTGTCTTGAAGCGACATAACTCGATTTCACGATGCTTGACATCGCTTTCACTGAGCACCTCATCACAGCCCTCGTTAGAACAAGACACAGACATGAAATCACACTCCCGAACGTATATAATGCTTGTAGATTTCCAGCTAACATCACAGCCTCATGTCTTGTGCTTTTTATTAAAAGTTTTGAACTAGCTTATATACAGTGTGTATAAAAAAAACTGAACCCTTTCAAATTCAAATTAGCTATAACGTATTGTAGTAATTTGACAGCTCTAATTGCCTTGAATTAATGGTTGGGTAAGAACACAAGGAATACTGTATTTCTTTTAAATTTTCTAATTTTTATTTCTTTGAGTTTTGTCCCATGAGTACAAGACCTAGTGTTCTTATCCAACCATTAATTTAAAGCAATTAGAGCTGTCAAATTACTACAGGGTGTATAAAAAAGAGCGCAACCTCGGAATTTCCCAAGAAATCGACATTTAAAATGGCACAACTGTCAAAATTACTGCACATGCGAGTGCATAAAGCAAAATTTATGCATTTATTTAATGCACAACAACAGTAATATGATCTATTCAATAGCAATTCGATTTCAATTCCCAGGTGCCTAAAATTTTTTATGCTAAGAATTGCAAAATGATTTCTTAGGAAATTCCGAGGTTGCGTTTTTTTTTATACACTGACCCTGTACAATACGTTATAGCTAATTTGAATTTGAAAGGGTTCAGTTTTTTTTATACACACTGTATGTGCCACGGTTGCTGCTGTGTCTTCTCATTGGTCAATTCGCGTAGTATTAACCAATTAAAGGGTGGAATATATAATTACCAATTAGTAAAATAAAAATGGATTTTAAAAATACACAAAATTATAGTTTTATACAATATTTTCCGATTGCGTTTTTGTGTACTTACAAAATAAATGGAAAACGACAGTTATATCAGAGTATTAAAGTACAGACCTGACAGAGGTCTCATTAACAGGGTTCGTAGTCTCCAAGACCAAAAAATTTCAAAGACTTTCAAAGATTTTTTCTGCCTATTGTCAAAGACTTTTCAAAGACCTTTGAGAGCAATCAGGTGTCGAAAAATTGCGATGTATAAGCACCATTTTTACCAGGTAATTAGTCCCATCAAATCACATCCTAAAATGCACTTTTTCGTCGATATTAGCGAAAATCTTGCTTCAATCAATCTATTTTATTAGCTAGGAAATCGTATAATCAAATAATCACTAAAGAATTTAAAGACTAATTTCTTCGCTTTTTCACACACTTCAAAGACTTTTCAAAGAATTGCATTCAAATTTAAAGACTTTCAAGGATTTCAAAGACCGCTACGAACCCTGATTAACTATGCTTCAGGTCAAGTCCGCCATGTTCTTAGTAAGTGCCCCTGAAAGAAAGGTGGTCACCCCCTGAAAACATATTGAAACTTAATGTTCCAGGGGGGTGAAAGGTTGGATAAAAAGGTGACAACAACAAGGCGGACACCACAACAGCTTAAAACCAATTACTGTGGGCCCTTATTACTGTTGTTTCCATAGACTAAATATTTGCAGACGAAATAAATGGCCTAAGTGAGACTCTCAACCTCGTACAGTGGAAAGAGCCTGGGTACGAGGTTGAGACTCTCCGGCAGAAGTGAGACCTCTGTATGTATTTATGTATTAAGCTAGTACAATAGTACTCTATGATTATATGACTGTGACGTCATTTCAGTGGACGTCATTGGACCCCAAGTTTGAGATTGAGGTCTTTTTCAGGTAGTTCAGACACAAACCACTACAGCTTATTGCAGAATACTACCTACAGTAGACCACAACGTTTGAGATATCTTTTTCAAGTAGTTCAGACACAAACCACGGCAGCTTATTGCAGAATACTACCTACACTAGACCACAACGTTTGAGATATCTTTTTCAAGTAGTTCAGACACAAACCACGGCAGCTTATTGCAAAATACTACCTACACTAGACCACAACGTTTGAGATATCTTTTTCAGGTAGTTCAGACACAAACCACGGCAGCTTATTGTAGACTGCGCCCCAATATCTACTCGATTAGTACAGCATGCTCAGTATTTCCTTCTCAAAAACAAACTCAACACGTTTGAAAACAACATTTATTTTCCGTTTTCACGGCATTTTTATGTTCATTTTCTTTGCACTTCCTCTTGCAGGAACATCTTGAAGGAGTTCTTATCTTTTCTCTACCACAAACGTTCTGTTCATATGCGCGCTGAAATAAAACGAAACTAGTGTTAAATTGCAGGCTTTCACGAAGTACTATCGTTCCACTGTTAATGTGCAATTAAAGTTGATCTCCTTAACCACTTCCTGGCCGTTCGTGGTTTCACAAAGTCGTTACAGTGAGATAATGTTTTATCTGGTACTTAATAGTCTTGTGTTTGGATTCAGGTCTTGCAATACAACGTATTATAAAAACATTCCGTCATTTTGAGTGGCAAAAATCTTTTATTCAACCAACTACGTGTACCACGCAACTGTGAAGCATTATAACTCTTCAACAAAAGCAATAATCATTGCCACAGTCTTGTTTTCAAGCCATGTTTGCTTTTAATTAACTATTTTTTTTATTTTGCCATCCAAAATGGCGGAAGTGAACAAGATTGCAACAATACGTCTCAACAGTTCTGAAGTTGCTCAAAGGGAGAAAGTTTTCCTGTTTGAAGAAAACAAATAAAAAGGCTTTTAATGCGTGAACTACGCTTTCTAACCTTTGGTTCTTACAAAAACCACGGCCGCTTATTGTAGAGTGCTATATAGGACTTCCACTCTTACTAGTAATGAGTAATTGTTTATTTCATCTCTTTAACCGTTTCCTGACCGAAACAAATGTGGAGTAAGAGTAATGTATTCTTTATTGAGAAACTTCTCACAAATTCTTACGTGGGAGGAAACTTCTCATGAAGTAATCTTCTCGACCAAACTGAAAGTAGTTTAGTTTTAAAAACTTTTAAGCGGTTTAACTAAAAAGCGTTTAGGTTCAAGCAGTGAATTATATCGGAACTTACTTTGTGAAAGAAAAGCAATTCAGTTTCCTTGAAATGACTGAGGTGGCGGAGGTCTATCTAGAGGAACAGAAACAAGTTTTGCAAACCCACCAAAATGACATCCTACATATTGGCTGACAATTTCCTACTTTCAGAGCCTGGGTACCAGTCCCAAAATATTGTGATAATCAACACAAAGGTAGTAAGAAAGAGCACATTGAAAGTTTGCCGTTTTTCAGTCATTTTGTATTACGCACGGGAAATTGATACCTTTTTTCAGAAAGCGATATCAATTTGCATTGATAACTTTTTTCAGAAAGCGGTATCAAAAAACGGCAAACTTCGCAGGATTATATTATCCGCATTTTACAACATTTCGCAAGAAACTTTGGAATGTTACTAATTTTGCGATGCTCTTTCAAGCTCTGGTGAAATTTTTGTCTAGACTTGTTGAGATGAAAATTTTGTTCATTAGGTAATAGGTCCATTGATGCTTTTATCTGAGAGACCGTTCATATAAACAATGAATTCCTACTTACTGGTCATTATTTGCGTCGGTTGCATTTCATTGTTCCTCACGTATAATACGGGGGGAGATGGCTGTTGTGACATAACATTGGGGGGTTGTGTCACAGGACGCACTGGGGTCACAGATTGAGGCATAGTTGGAGGAGGGAAGTTGAACTGTGATTGTTGTAGAGAGGGCGAGGTGATCTGGGGAGGACTTTGTATCATTGCTGGCATCGCATGACCTGCGGACAGAAATATCATGTCATGTTCACGTGAGACCATTATTCATTTCAATTTTCAAAGACAGCTGAATATTTCACTACTGCCTCAGGTTAGGTTTACAAAGAGGAATAATTAAGGCCAAAAAAATATGTGGGTTTCCTATTTTTTCTTGTAAAAACTTAGGTACGGTAGGTCGGTTTTAACTTTTTTTTTTTTAATTTTCCTAACAACCGGACGCCATATTTTAGTCAGTGCTTCCACATTCAAAGATAAATTTTCCTAATATTGCCTCAAATTTCCATTTTTCACAAACGTTTTCCTTTAAGTGGAAACACTTACAAGTATGATGCAATAAAAAAGTTTAGGGTCGTGATTTCGGCGTCCAAAAGCTAGGTAGGGTCGGGAAACCGGAAACCAACATATTTCTTTTTTGGCCTAAGGAAATTTTTCCAGTCTTTTGTCTTATCATTATTCAATTTAGCCTAGTTAAGAACTTAAGTGAGACTGATTACGGAAATATTTATAAACCTTATTGCGAAAGCATTACTGATAATTCATGAGAAAACACAAACGAAAATAAATCATGACCGTGAAGGAGTTTGTATATCTGATTCAAAATCATGCTTTTTACATACACTCCAAGTTCAATTTTCTCACCAAAATGCCCAATATCATTAATTTATTTTAAATTGTTCAAGAATACGGATGTTCTCATCAAGACGTTTTACAAGTCACTCGCCTTCGGCTCGAGTTTGCACATCCGACACAACACGGCCAAGGGGCGCAGGAAGCATCAAAAGATTGGGTGGCACTGGCTTGGAGGGGGGGCACTGACTTTGAGAGGCACTTTTGGATTATGAAAAGGGCACCTAAAACATTTTCCCCGGAAATGTTGGCAACGGGGAGGGAGTGGCCGCGGCTGGCAGAAAGAGGAAAAAATGTTCCAATTATATCCTATTTCACGCTTAATATAATACATTTGCCCAAATTTCGCAACATACGATCAACGTTTTTGACCATCGAAATTTCCTATAAATTTCTATCATTGGACATAGATTAGGAAATGAATAGATGGCTCAATCCTTTGATGTTTTTGACGCTGCCGGCACCAACGCATGTTCTTGCCAGAGTAATGGCGGCCTAGCAAGTAACTGTAGTGAAATGCATTGTGAAATTGACACCGGTGCTACTAAATCTTGTATTTTTATAATTCTGATTTATTTATCCATTAAAACCCCCGAAAGCGGAAAAATACAGGATCTAGTGGCACGGATGTCAATTTCACAATACATTTTATTATCGTTCTTGCTAGGCCGCCATTACTCTGGCAAGAACATGCGTGGGTGCCGGCGGCGTCAAAAACATCAAAGGAGTGAGTCATCTATTCATTTCCTAATCTATGCATTGGATTTACTTACATGACGGCAGATTAGTATTTACAACAGAACTAGCTTGTGCAAAAGGGCATAGGTAAATGTGTTCGGGAAGCAAAAAGACACTTTCGATGTTAATGTTGTATTTATACAGCAACATTAGCTTGTACAAAAAGGGTACTTTTCATCACACAACATTAGCTTGTACAAAAAGGGTACTTTTCATCACACAACATTAGCTTGTACAAAAAGGATACTTTTCATCACACAACATTAGCTTGTACAAAAAGGGTACTTTTCATCACACAACATTAGCTTGTACAAAAAGGGTACTTTTCATCACACAACATTAGCTTGTACAAAAAGGGTACTTTTCATCACACAACATTAGCTTGTACAAAAAGGGTACTTTTCATCACACAACATTAGCTTGTACAAAAAGGGTACTTTTCATCACACAACATTAGCTTGTACAAAAAGGGTACTTTTCATCACACAACATTAGCTTGAACAAAAAGAGTACTTTTCATCACACAACATTAGCTTGTACAAAAGGACACAATTGGTCCTTTGAAAATATCTGGGGGCGTGCCCCCCCCCCCCATTCCTACGCCCCTGACACGGCCGCTCATGTTGTAAATGGTACTTCAACCTACCGTAATAGATGGCGTTATCTGGATAATGACCAGGAGGTATCTGGCCTAAAGGGACCATCATGGGTCCTTGATGCGGGTGTTGTTGTATAAACACCGGGTGTTGCAGGCCTGGATGGCGTAATCCTCCTGGGTGCATGTATGACATTCCAGGAGGGGAGGGTTGATGCATAAACTGGTGGGGCATGTGGTGAGCAAAGAAAGGCTGGCCTGTGGCATTGGTTGCGTTCACGTAACCTGCTCCTGGGTCCATGTACTCTTGTCGCATACCTATGCAACAAACATTGGAGAGAAATCACTACGATCGCGAATATAAGTACAAATACGTTATATTACGTCTTAGTATTTTTGCACAAGTGAATATACCAAATCCTGCAAGTTGATTGGTCAAATTTGACGTCACGAATGACATTTTGTTAAGCACATAGCTCTAGTGTGCGCCGGGCTACGCAAGCGTTTCTACTTCAAAAAAATCCACATTTCACATGAATAGCAAGTGTTTTGCGCCATTGTGAAGACCGTATTTTTCGCTGCTGTTTTTTTACAACTGCAGAGAGCCACCTTGGGCCATAAAGCGGACGTCTCTCAATTCTATTTATTACAGGGCTCGAAATAGCGGGCTGCCAATGGCCAAAAGCAGGCCATATTTTAGAATGGCAGGCAAAAACAAATTTGAACTGCCAAGTAAAAAAATGGCAGGTGAAATGGACCATTTGCATTATATACTAAATTTTGATCTAAACAAGTCTAGACAAAAATTTCATCACAGCTTGAAGGAGCATCACAAAATTAGTAATATTCTAAAGTTTCGTTGCGAAATGTTGTAAAATGCAAATATAGCCTTGCGAAATTTGCAATTTTCAGTCATTTTGTATTACAAACGGGAAATTGATGCCCCAACACCCAATTGGGCTGTCAATTTCCCGTGCGTAATACAAAATGACTGAAAAACGGCAAACATCGCAAGGCTATATTATCCGTATTTTACAACATTTCGCAACGAAACTTTGGAATATTACTAATTTTGTGATGCTCTTTCAAGCTGTGATGAAATTTTTGTCTAGATCAAAATTTAGTCTATAATGCAAATGGTCCATTCTATAGAAATATTTCATTTCATTTGCTTAATACCACAACTCATACATACTAGATCATTTAGTCGACTAAATACGTTTATATTTGAAATGTAAATCCAAGTTTACTGTAGTAAAATAGACAAGTTTAAAAAGAATAAAAATGCATATCATGAAAACATTGATTTTTACAATATGACTCATATGAGACATCGGCATCTTGGCAGTTCAATGAATAAAAATAGGTACGCGCTGCGTACATGTGGGTAGCCTGCATTAATTGTTGTTAAAGCTGGAGTAATACCGAGGTTGGAGTAATACGCGCAACAAAATTGCTGCAGCCAAAATTTCTGCAACAAAATCTGATTTCAACGCATTTTAAGTGGAAATGTTGACAAAACATTTCAATTAACATGCGCAGAAATCAGATTTTGTTGCAAGTTGCAGCAATTTTGTTGCCCATATTAGTATATTACTCCACCTTAATTGCTATTGTCAAATTCCGAATTTACTGAAAGAAAGTATTAAGTAAATTGAACACAATTCAAATATTATACACATTTAATCACATACTGAACATCAGATATGACAAAAATACGTAAACGACTGTTACGTGCATTTTTCAATAAGCATAAACAGATTTAAGAAGTTACAAAGTATTTTAATGTGTCAAAAATAATTTGCACACTGAACAGACAGAACAGTACAAGGTCTTTAATATGTATACGAAACAAAATACATCACACGCCGAAATACAGACAGTACGAAAAACACTTAAGACAAGAACAGTTCTTGTTCAAGGACAGCATACATCAAAGACAAAGCATCAGGTTTACAGGCTACGTATATACAATTTTCGTGAAGTTTGAGTTTCAAGGATAGTCCATGCAAAGATCTAAGGACGATGCTTTCCGGCGGAGTTTGAAAAAGATCAACATATATTTATTTAGGGATGATTGAATTATTTTAACAACGACATAATCGATCTCATATATATTTATGCACTTTTTATAATCTTATATCTTATAACAACTATCACATATAGATACGCTTTGTATCTTTTATTGTATGTAATTTCATATGTGCCTGTATTGGTATTTTGATGAATAAAGATTATTATTATATATTGGTAATGACATTCAATTTGCTTTCAATATTCGACAAATATATCCCTAAGTAAAAAAGCGCTAATATTCCACTGCCTAATTTAATCCTTGTGTAAACCGTGCTTGGCTTTCTATTTGCCTTAACTTACACATTCGACTAACCCGATTCCAATGACGTGGCCTTACAAACATTATGTAAGCAACGACATACTCGATTCTATATACCTATATGTTCGTTATTCGTCAACATTCCTTCGATATAGACTAACGTAAATATGTCCAATCGTCGCGCGCTATGTCACTAATTACTATATTTTTCTAATACGTATAAAATGTTTGATCAAACTGATATGTCGTGTTTAAATATGACATTACACGATATAAAACAGACCCCGTGCGCTAATATTAACCGCAATGACCCTTGTACAAGCAGTGATTATAAAAACAACGACATATTCGATTCTATATGCGTTGGAAATGACTATCGACCTGACAAAACATATTACAATAAAGACTTTACTAAGAATTTATACACATCTCTGTACGGTATGAGCGTTAGTGAACTTAGCCTGTGGTCTATAGACGGTTCGTATTTCAACGATAAAAGGAACCGCGCAGCAGGACACCGCGGACACGAAGGCTACAGCGCCACAGAGCCACAGAGCCACAGAGAAACGGTGACAGAATATATATATTAGATATAGCTAACATATTTTTATGAATTTCGCGTATTTAGAGCAAAAATCTTATTTATCATGAAATTACAAACATTTTGTATTAGTTAAAAGGTTCAGTCAAATAGACGTGGATATACTGAGGCTGTCAAAATTCAGCCTTCTCAGTCAATACATTGACGAACGTGCTCTATCGATTATGGCTGGATCCGGATTTACAAGAAGCGAATCAAATGCAAACTTGATTAGATTTGTTATACCTTATGCAAAGACCGTAACATTCCAGACCTCATTTTTTATAAGAACTTGCAAAACGTAGAACATATTAAACACAGTAACTTGCGTACTAGAAATATAGGCTTGCTGTCTTTTAAATCAGGTCTTAAACATGCACTATCCAAAACTTTTGATCGATTATGACGATCTGCGCACCTGGAAATCAAAGTGCAAAAGAGCTTAAGGTGGCTCCCTACAGTTTTTGAAATATGACAAAATTGTTATTTAGATTTAATTTAACACAAAAGCAAACACAAAAGCACACGGTTTGGATAGCAGCATTGAAAACAGGTAAAATTTATAGTTAATAATATTTCCAGCGTAAATATTAAATCTGTGCGAATCTACATCCTAAGAGGTTTATGAAAAATCATTGTAAAGCTAAATAAGCTAAATATAAAGTTCGACAACGTTAACGTTCCAAAGTTTAGCATATTTGCGCGCTATACGATTGCGTGCTATGGGTTTGGAAAGCTTTTACATATGAAACTAAACATTTCTTGGATCTAAGTTTGGAAAGTTACAAGTTTGGAAACGTTGTGTATTTGGAAACTTTCCGAGTTTGTGGGCTATGAATAAGATAGTGGGCTAACAATCTTTTCAGTTATTGTTGATTAGTAAAACTGCTTGAGTGTTACATGACAATTCACTTTGTCTTGGGAAGGAAGTGTGTGCGTTTTCCAAACCAATTTTAATGAGGATGAAAAGTTCATAGATTTCGAATTAGGGAATCTAATGCTCGGGTGGTCTTTCGTGTCTTTAATAGCTTGAAAAATTTTCGGAAGAAATCATAATTGGTGCTTGGCCTTCTTTTAATCTTTTTTGTTACAATATTTGCGACATTTTTTTGCACTATAGAGTAGTTTGCTTTTGTTTTGAAATGCGATCCCGCAATAGTCTAGCGCAAACAGTTTGACACACAGTAAATCTTGAAATGCGATCCCGCGATAGTTTAGCGCAAGCAGGTTTGTCACACAGTAAACTTTTTGAACTTTTTTGCACTTTTTGCAACGACAGATTTGCACTCTCATACTTTGATATTTGCACATGTACTGTGATATTTTTATTTCTGTAATATTCTTTAAGTATAATATGTTTTGGGTTCATATGGTTGTCGCCATGAATACCTACGTAATAAAACTTTGTCGCGGTTCGTTTACAAGACAAAAGATTTTAAGCTGATTACAATACGATACACATATGTACAAAAACAATGTTAAACCATGATTGGTCAGAATTATGATACTATTACTACATATGGTAATTATGGAAGTTCGGATACATTAATTAATTACGTAATATCAATACAGATCATATTAAACGGGCGATTAATTAAACATGGTCAGAGTCATTT